AAAATTCCAGATTGCAAATTTCAAAAATATTTTTACATTTTAAGAAATCCTATTATCTGTGCATATTTGTTTTGTATTGTGAAAGGGGATCAATTTACAATGAATTTATATAGTAAAGTGGACCCTCTGTTAATGTCTATTACCTTTTTAATAATTTTTTATATTTGGTCTTGAGTGTTTAATCTATAATAATTTATGAAAAATAAAATTGAAAAAAAAAATTCTTTTCATGCTTTTTTTCACAACTCCACAATTTCTGCTTAGATCATTCATTAAAGCAGATGGATGCATAATTACAGTCTGGTCTATGACTCAACAAAAAGCGGGGGTATTTCTTAAGCAGATGCTAATAATATTCAACCTGGTTGGTTTTGGTTTGTTTAAAATAATTTTATTATTGTGTGCAAACAAAAAGTAAAAATTCTCCCAAAAGAAAATTAGCAGTATTACATTAAACTTCCTTGCTCTGTTAAAAAACACTTTGGGAAATATATTTAAAAGAATTCAGTGTTGATTGGAAGAAGGCTAAATTGTTGTCCTCAACTGTGAATTTGACTGGGAGTACTTTTCTTAATAAAATTATTTATAATTGTATTTTTGTGATCTTGAAAAAAAGGCTTTTTATTGCTAAAGTGTTAACATTTTATTTAAGGCAATTTTTCTTTTCTTGGGAGCTCAGAATAAATTTAATCCAATCAAAAATTCTCTTGAAAAGTTGGCCAAATATGCAGTTTGAAAGATGAAAGGAAATATTTAGTGTCTACCAGCTTCCCAATGAAATAGTCAGGACAGTGAGTTGAGTGGTGAAGGCTATGCAAATGATTCCTTTTGCTAGTCAACCACTAAGCTTTTAGGCTCCATAAAAGCAGGTACATTTACCAGAAAAGAGGAGTTTGGCAGTGCATCATATAATCATACAATAGGATTGCCATAGGTTACCAAGAATTTCTGTTTGTGTTACCTAGTGGACCCTCTGTTAATGCCTATGTTCAGTGTTTAATTCCATTGCTACCGAGTTTTCAAAACACACAGAATTGACAAAGGTTGGTTGGGCAGTGAATAATATATGAAAAATAAAATTGAAAAAAAATTTCTTTCCATTCTTTTTTTTTTTTTTTTACAATTCCACAATTTCTGCTTAAATCATTCATTACAGCAGATGGGTACATAACTCAACAAAAAGGGGGTATTTCTGAAGCAGATACTAATAATATTCACCCTGGATATTAGAGAGATGTGAATAAATATACTTTAATGTTTAAAAAAAATTAATTCAGTATTATTATTGTTTAGATAAGTATTATAACAGCACAAATAGCTATATTGTGGAAAAAGCAATTTTTTATATATATTTATGGTTATTTTTAACTTTTATCAAAAACCATATTCTTGTACATGTAGTTATAGATAATATTAAACTTTAATTACTAAATTTTTTTTAATTAATAACTATTTGTGCTCAGTTGTTGAAGTTAATAGCTATCTCCTGATGTGTTAAAATTTAGGAATAACACAATAATAGAAATTTAAATTTCATCTGTCTGATAGATGTCGTGATCTGTTAATAAAAAGGTAGAGAAAAACTTCAGCTCCTTAAGGGTGGCGCAATATAAGGGCCTGACTTTTTTCTGTTTATTGGAATTCTGTGTTCTTCATAGACAGCATCTTGGAATGTTGATTCGTAGATCAAAAGGAAAGAAAGGTGGAGGTGTTGAGTTTTCGTGTAGGGGTGAAACAGTCTGGTGAAATAATTAAAAGAACTCTGTCAAGATCTGAATGAGAGAGAGAGATGACACTAAAGAAAATTAGTGATCTTCTGGGTTGAGTTTACTCTTCAGAATTTGCAAATAAGAAAAAAAAAAAAAAAGGATCCCTTTCCCTACAAAAGCTCCTCTAATGATGAAAAAAATTAATCTACCACAGATGCTGCACTTTTTACACTCTTGCAAAATGTAAGTGCCTTAAAATTAATAAAGTATTTTATTAAACCACATATAAGATTTCATCGTTTATTTATTTTTTATGAAAAATGACTCAAAAAATATCTTTTGGATATTATATGCAGAGTTGGTAGGTGAATATTTAGAATATATTTGCTATAACCTACCAATATTTGTACTGACTAACTCCATGAAACTGTAATATTAGTCAATCACTATTTCCATGGCAAATGATCTCTGTTCTTTAGTACTGTTGATCGTAATACTACTTGGAATGACAGCAAAACACTTTTCCTCCCAAATTTATAGGCAGAAGCACACAAATGCATGCTGGGTTTTTTTCCTAGCCAATAAGATAGGTTGGTCCTCAGTTTCATCTGACTCAGTCCCTGTCTGTCTTGAAGTTAGAACACTGCATTCATTCATCCAAATTTGCTCTTGTGTGTCAACCCCAATACTTAGTTTGTGAACTTTTTGTTTGTATAAATTGCTTGCTTGCTTTATATTATTTTTTGCTCTGTTCTTTCATTTTTCTTGTTATTGCAAACTTCAATTCTGTTTGTGGGACAGTTCTAGCATTTATTTTACATTTAACCATGGTCACTCACTACAAGTATCATTAAAACTGTTGTAGCATACTTATGGACGACAATGGATATGCCCTCATTCCCACAAATACAGTAGTGAATACTGTACAGGGTCTAAAGTTGGAGATTCATTGTGGAATTCACTTGACTCATTTCTAGCAGTTGACTACTACTTTCCATGCCACTGGCAAATCTTATATGTGTTGTTCTTGTCCTAAGCATTATCATTCATTACCAATCTTAGTTTGAGTATTCTATTCAGTAACCTTCCCAAGGTTAGAACATTTTGGCAATGAGGATTAGCCAAAATTACAACAAAAACATGTCATGCTACTTACAAGGATATGAATTACCCTCATTTTCTCCATATTCCAAATTAAAGAAAGTTCTACAGCTTTTTCTCCAAGAACTACTACTTTTTAGAACAGAAGGATGCTTCTTTGAACACTTCACTCTTAACCTCTTCAAGTCAATGGTTAATTGTTATCTATCGTCCTTATCCTAACATCATCTCTTTAATTTATATTACATACCTTATTCATCATTACCATTGTAATAATTTTCTACCTTCATTGGATTTTGAGTCTTGCAATGGTTGTACTTAAGCATAAGAAAATGGAAATAGAAGAGGCTTATGCAAATTTGAGGTTTCTCCTGCTTGCTTAATGGCATAACAACTTCTTATGGGTCGTTTAATGCAGGAATTTAATTTTCTTGGGAGGTCAAGTAATTTTTTCTTTTTACAAAATTCTGTTTTTTTTTTTTTTTAAATCTACTGCTGTGATATTTATTTCATTTTCAATCTTTATTTTTTAATCTGAAAATATTTTTCTTATACTTTGTTATTTGACCCTAGTTTGGGAGGGGTCACTCTTTGCCTGGGATCCTAACTGGTGCCACCACTCTAGAACAGAATGGGAACAAAAGCAAGTAAGAGGTGGTTCCGCACTCCTCAAAACCTCCTGATCAAAGGCCTTGCTGCCGGATCTAGTTTTTGCAGGATGGGCAAAGTTGTCGTGTAGGATAATATGTATCCAGATGATGTTGACTACCTGTAATTGACCAGGCATGAGCCCATAATAATTTATTAAATATAAAAAGATTATCATGTATACAAAGTTGTGGTGTCTTGTAGGCTGATGTTTACCCAGGTACCTTAGACTACCAGTACCTAACCTAAAAAAAGAAACTGAATCCAAATAACTCAATAATAGATCTACAACTGATTCTATAATTAATAAACTTCATAATTAATTTTGTAACTAGGACTCTAATTAGATACACTGTATTTTATTTTACTTTATATTATTGCATTAAATGATTTATCTTTGAATAAAGGAGGCACCTCTTCTCATTAGTTAACCTACTTAGGGAGCTCTGCTCCTTTTTTAAACAATTGTATATACACATTTTAATAATTGTGTTAATATGTATAGCTGGCCACTAGTATTCAAGGACACCCATGTACTAGGGCGGCTAGCCAATCCCTATTGCAGATCCTTGCTCAGGCGCATTTGTGTTTATTCACCATCCACAGAGCCCACCTGTGGTTTATGCTGCAACTATGCTGAGCTGACCATAGTTGCAGTTTCTAGGAAAGAGTGTGTTATCTAGCGTGATCATCAATTTGAACAAGGCCAGCACACTCAAGCCCTCGGTCATGATGACTTGTGACTTTGTGCTAGCACAGCTACCAATGGCCCCCAAGGGTTCTTTCTACCCAGTTTCACTCACAAGGCTCGGGTCAAACTGTGGTATGGTTTCCAGGCACTTTCCAAAGGTGCTGCATGCTGGGATCAACCCCTCCATTTTGACAAATTGATCATGGTGAGATTCGAACCCAAGTCTCATGGTCTGAATGCGAACATTCTAATGACTCAGCCATGTGCCATGTAATAATAATTAATGTCATAAGTATAAATGCTGTAAATTGTAATCTGCATTTGCTGGTTCCCAGACGTCATGAGTTCCAGCGCCCTACGAGGCTGGCATCCCGCTCTCACCCCTTCACTGTCGAAACTCCTAAATGTAGCCGTCTCTTCTACTCTAATAGCTTCATGTCTCACACATCTCACCTGTGGAACTCCCTTCCCTATTCCTGTTTCCCTGAGAGCTATAATCTCCAGTTATTCATATGTAATGTCAATCGACATCTCCAGTTGCCTTGATCTATCCACTACCCTTCTCCTCATCCTTTCTTCTATCACTCCTATCTGATCTTGCTCTAAATTTTCTGTAACCTCTTGTGTCCTAGTGGCTACCCGCCTTGCTTGGGGTGAAATGCTTAAAAAAAAAAAAAAAAAAATATATATATATTATTGTGAGTAAATATCATCTTCTTGCAATAAAGAGACAAGAAAATATAGAATAGGAAGGTGTGGAGAGACATGATCACCCAAGTCTTACCTAATCTTTCCTTTTTAATTTGAGAACTTTCAACTTTCTATTAACCCTCTGGTTTACATTCACATCACTTTGAAACACCGGTTCTTGTTTGATAACAGAAGTTAAGCAACATCAAGCATGGTTTGTACCTAGATGGGTGACCGCTTGGGAATACCAGGTACTCTAACCTTGGATATGCGGGTAGTGTAATGGATAATGGCTTGGAATTTTTAATTGAAGAGTCAAGACCAATTCCTAATGGGTTTGTTATATTCACTCACATGCAATTACCCTTGGGGGAAAAGCATGAACTTATCTCTTCTCTCCCATCTATGGGTTAATTAGTAAAACTTGTATCATTGAATTATTATTACAATCTAAAAATATTTTCTTGCTTTAAGTAACCTACAAAGGCATAGAAAAAGAATCAAAACTGATTGGCTATACAATCATGTCTTTTAGACTTATTTATATGCTTTGGATATAATTGTATAGAAACTATTGTGACCACAAATTGATGGATCAGTTTATATATTGATTATAATATACAACTGATCCCCAATTTTATATCCACATTATATTATCAAATTCTGATTTGGTATGAATCCACCTAATTTCGATCCCAGCTATGGGTTAATTAGTAATATTTGTATCACTAAATTATTATCTACTAAATAAGAATTCTTACAATTTAAAATCAGATGCAAATGGTAATGTTTACCCTCTGATCACTCACTCCATTGTTTGTCTCTTCAGTCTTGTTTACAGATGAGGCAATATTTGAAAGAAATGGAATAACAAATTTACATGACCAACATTTGTGGGCAGATCAGAATCCTCATGGTACAATACAGGCTACATACCAGCATCAGTTTATGATTCATGTGTAGACTGGAATTGGTAGGTCCACATGTTCGCCCAGCATCAGTCTTACAGGAACTGTCTACAGGGACTTTATTTTGAACAAACTTCTAGACCTGCGAGAGGATGTACTCCTGCTAATACAAAGATTTTTTTTAATTTTTTTTTTTTATTAAGCATTTCACTCCAAGCAAGGCGGGAAACCACTAGGACGCAAGGGGTTACAAAAAATTTATAGCAAGATCAGATAGGAGTGATAGAAGAAAGGATGAGGGGTGGATAGATTAAGGCAACTGGAGATGTCAATTGACATTACACTTGAGTAGCTGGAGATTATAGCTCACAGGGAAACAGGAAAAGGGAAGGGAGTTCCACAGGCGAGAGGTGCGAGACATGAAGCTATTAGAGTAGAAGAGATGGCTACATTTAGGAGTTTCGACAGTGAAGGGGTGGGAGCAGGATGCCAGCCTCGTAGGGCATTGGAACTCATGACATCTGGGAACCAGCGAATGCAACTCCTCGGAGCATGCATTGTGCTTCATGCATGATGGGGCTCCAACACATTTTAGTCACATTGTTCATGATGTACTAGCCGACATCTACCATGAAAGATGGATAGGTAGGGTAGGACTGGTTCCACGGCCTGCACATTCCCCCAACCTCAGTTCTTTGGATTTTTATCTATGGGGCCACGTAAAATAATTGGTTTATACAGTAGACATTTAAAATGCAGACATGCTTCATCAGTGAATCATGGGGGCCATTCGACACCATGTGGGGGTATTTGAAATGGGTGCATGCATGTATAGAAGCAAATGGGGGATGTTTTGAATATTTATTATGAGTTTCTGTGTTGAGGCACAACAATGGCCTTTTGGATATATGTTTATATGAACTTTGTCTTTGTTTTTATGTGAAGACCCACCTCCAATGTTTCTAAAAGTATTTTTGATGTACTCTCTCTATATATATATTAAAATAATGCATTACATATAGCTACTATAAGTAAGGGTTATGGGTGACTATAGGTGAAATATGAAGCCACATTTGAAGTCAGTTTTATTATAGATACTACACTACAATTTACCAATAGTCACCCTTTCATTTTATATATATATATATATATATATATATATTACTTTTTGTATGAATGATTCATTGTAATATTGTGTGTGTATATAAGTGAACATTGAAGTCAACACTTAGAGGTGACAGGCTGTTTCATGCTAGATACAATCATCAGGCCATGATTGCATCTAGCATGAAACAGCCTGGTGCCTCTAAGTGTTGACTTCAATGTTCACTTTTATATTTACATACGCTCTCTCTGATATTGAGCACTTTATCCCATAAATATAGCACATCTTAAGAGTATATTTCTTATATACACGTACACACACAATATTACAATGAATCATTCATATAAAAAGTGAATAAGTTAATAAGATAAAATGGTGAATTCACTTTGCTAACTAAATTTTAAAAATACATTAACCCACTAACCACTCAATGAATGTTATGATCCTTTTGACAGATTTAAATATGTAAGTACTTTTGACAAATTTAACTGATCTGATGTGCAAACTTTCGGGAAAACTGAGACATTGTTCTAGGTATTGAACTATTTAGTTCATGCCACATTGACTGATAATCACCTGCAACAAAACAATTTTCAATTGCCATATTAATAAAAAAATGCTCTCACTTACGTTTTCAAAAATTCAACCTTAATGTTGCAACTGCATGCTTCACAAGTTTGTATCTGTTATCAATAACACACTTCAGAAAAACATATTTCGATTTGCATTATATTTTTTCGTCTCAGATGCTACCTCAGTTTTACCAAAGAAAATAGTTTCCATGTCTGATGATGACTGGAGAAACCGTTGAAAGTACTTGCATATTTAAGCAAGACCTAATAGTTTATAATTTTAAAAATGAGGACCGTAACATTCATTGAGTGGTTAACACATTTTCAAAATTTAGTTAATGAAGTAAATTCACCATTTTATCTCATTAACTTTATAAATTTACTTTTTGTATGAATGATTTTTTGTAATATAAATTAAACTGCACCACATTATATATATATATATATATATATATATATATATATATATATATATATATATATATATGTGTGTGTGTTGAGGCAGCATATTTTCATTCAAGCATGTTTGGTTAAATAATTTAGATATATTATGTCCATTTATTTTAGTTTTAATCCTTTCAAGTCCATGAATTAATTCTTTGGTGGCTGTAGAAAATTGATTCAGAAAAATTCCAAAATTTTCTTTCAAATAATTTTTATTTTCCCAAGTACTTTCAATCTCATCTGAGGGTTGCATATCTATGGGTTATTTTCTTAATCAATTTTCTACAGCCACATTAAAAAAGAAAGTGAGACAAATAGGTAAACAAAAAAAAAAGTTCTTTACCTTGAACAGTTCGGCATGAGCATGTTCAATGTCCAATTTTTCCATGAGTTTTTCTAAAATTGAATCTGCCAGCTCATAAACGATATCATCATTTGATCGGCCATTACCTCCACTGGATACTCTTGGCTGAATGTCCAGTACTGTTGAAACCAGAGACATTGTCTCTTGCCTCTGTGTTAGAGAACAAAAAAGAAGTTAGACACATTTAAATTTGATATTTTAATCTTGTACAAATTACATTATTTTTTGAATTTATATCTCCATTTAAAAAAATTTTCTCTCCTTTCATATATATACATATATGTATATATATATATGAATGAATGAGATAACGATATCTAATGTTTTCATATATCAAGAACTATTTTAAGGGAAAGAAGGATGAGAAAATGGAAAAAAGTCTTCTTTGATGTGTTCGTCCTCTAGGATTTCATATATATATATATAAGCACATTTCTCAAATGCCAAAAAACACATTCAACACATTACTAGATAGGAAAAGGTTCAAAGTTATTGAAATTGTTTTGTTTAAATTCTTTTTGTTGGTAGGCTTAAATGTAATTAGTCTATAAAATTTTGTCTTTTTGTTCATTTTAGTCAGGTACATATTTCTTAGCCTTGATTGATCTCTCATGAGAGAAGACCAATAAGCTGGTTAAGCAGGTGTTTTGTAAACTGTGTTTCGGTTGGTTGATTTTGTTTAGCGGCATATCAACCTCTATGGGTTATTTAATGCTGAATTAATATTTTGAACACAATTTTTTTCAACTAAATATATTTTGAATGTGATTATATGCCTTCAACTACAGATAAAATTTCTTGTTAATTGTATTGTAAAATGCATTGCTGATCATTTTGTTACAAATATGTATTGTTCGTCATTTTATTATATAGAAATGTATTTTTATACTTTCATAGTGCATTGTCTTGGGAACAACATCAATTAAGAGGTGGGTCCATCGTCCTCAAAACCTCCAATATCTCAATCAGAGGCCTTGCTGCCTGATGTAGTTTATTGTCATACCCAGGTCAGTGTTTTGTATTTTGATATTAACACTTTATGTAATTTTTTTTTGTTTATTCTCATTTTTAAATGTTTGTTTTTATCACTGTTATTAAGTTTTGTAACCCCAGCAATTTTTTTTTTTTTTTTCAAGTAAAACATTGCGTCAACCAGTTATGTTAACATGGCCCAGACCTGATTTAGATTACTGCAATTTCTAGCTATTGCAAATGGATGGATTTCCAATGATGGTGATCCTCAAAGAAGATTTTGTAGACTTCTCATAAGGGAAAAGAGTACTAGGATAAGTAAAAGAGCTCCTAAAAGGAGTATATGGAGTAGAATGAAGATGCCATTGTCCTAGGTAGGATTTGTTGTTGTTCTTGTTGTTAATATTAAAAACTTATTTTTCTATGTCTTTAAACTTAAAAATAAAAAAAGTTTTATACGTATGGTGGTGTGTGTGTTGATCTAGAGATCACAGTCAGGGTGCATAGTTTCATTTCTCCCCTCTTCTCCTAATGTCATTAGACAATTCTGTGGAGTACTGGGTCACAGCCCCACCACACTAAGGAATGCAACTGTGGTTTCTGTTTCAAATATGTTTTTATGAGATGAAATTACCAGATCTACTCCAACCAGTTTTGAATTCAGAGTTGTCCTTCTCCTAGACTTGTTACCAACCAATACTAAAGCACCCATTCTGCTCTAATATTTAACCCATAGCTAGGGGATAACTTAGTTTGCTCTACTATATTTCTTTAGTTGTCTAGTTTAAAACATTTTTCTTTAAATAAACCTTAGTTTCTTCTTTTACATATTAATGACTCCGAAACACTAAAATTCATATCAATAAATTTGACTTATCTTCTGCCGTGGTGAGTTCAACTTAAGCTTTATATGTTTTCAACATCAATATATTTTGAAAGAATATTTTTTTATTGAAACAAGATACTTTTTTGAGTACATTTAAAAAACCATTTATAAGTGTTAAATCAGGAAAAAATTCTTTGGATTAGATTTTATACTGGCTTTAGGGAAAGGGTCCATACTAAACAAAGGGGGGAAAAAATTCTTTTTCCATGTGAAATATTACACATAACACCATTAATCAGCTGCATACGATAGTAATTCTTGGAACATGAAATATTTCCAGGGAGCTTTTAGGGTCGGAAAGAATTTGATAGCCCCTAAAAGTCTACCAGAAAATACACTTGGTGTTGAAAAAAAACATGGCGATATATCAAATGATTAAAAACAAATAAACATCTCCCACCTTGAAGGGTTTATGGCTTTCTAAGGTTGTAGATAATATGGGTAGGATCATTTATTAGGTTTTATATCCTATTCCAAATACTTTTAAAAAGATTAATCTTGTTGCAGCTCAAAATACCAGGAATTAGTATTTTTTTATTATAGTAAATATATTTTAGCTGGTGTGTAGTTGTTAGGTCCTTGTTTTCATTTTCGTTGAGGGTACCTTGTTGTAATTGATCTAAATCCCCTTTTCTCCTTCAACAACGCCTATATCAAAATTGTGCCAGTAATAGAGTATAGTCAATGCAACAGAGTCAATTTTTTTTTTTTTTTTTACATTTTGTTGTATTATAGAAAAGCTAATCACCAGAAATATGTTGTGGCAGAAACATCCAAGCAACAGTTGTCGGATCAGACTGTAGAAATGGTCAACCTAGCTTGCAGGTCTCTAACTCTGTACAAATATGCTAATATGATCTGGTTTTGTTTTGTTTTACGGAATATCAACCACAATGGGTTATTTTATGCCAACAAAATATCCTTTTTTTTTTTCTTTTTCTTTTTTTTCAAAGATGGTAATTTTTTCAGAAATATATAGCTGGTAATATTTTTTTCAAAAATGTATAGTTTTTGTTTTGTGGCATATTAACCTCAATGGGTTATTTAATGCTGACAAGATTTTTATTTCTGGTAATATTTTCTTTTTTCAAATATTTATTGCTGATACTAATTTTTTAAAAAGTATTTCTGGTATTAAAATCTATTTTTACACTTTCATTGTGTTTTGAGTCAGGTTGTGGGGTCAACTATCTGAATGTTTAAAACCAGTCAAAAATGTAAATATGTAGTAAAAAAAGATGTTTAAATGTGTATAAAAAATGTTCAGTCATAGTTCAAAGGATTAAATCACTTTTGTGTACACAAGTTGTGAGCTTAAAAAACCAAGGTAAGTGCTTACAATGGAAGAAATCTGGAACAATATGTAAGGATTTATCCTTCAAAAAAGTAAGTATCGCCTGACAAATATGGTGGCACATTTGGGCTGTTAGTTGTGTAATCCTTTATTTTTTTTCATATAATTGTTCATGGGATCCCTGAACTAGCTCAGTAGAGGATTTTTTTCGGGTTTTTTTTTTTTGTGCTGATTTCTGACTGGTGGGATTTGATCCTTTACATTGACAGAGATAGACATTTAGTCATGGCACTTGATATTTACATGATATTTTCAAACATACTGAGTATACGAGGGAAGAATATAGTGCAGGACTATTTCTAAGTTTAACAAATCTGAGGAAGACTGAAGAATGGTCTGAAAGGTTTTGCTAAAAGTTGCAATGATGTAGATATTGACCAAAAAATGTTTTAAAAGCAGAAGAACTTAAGCAAGGGCTTAGATTATAGTTTATAATCTAAAAATCTTTAATTTTAATGCATTAACTGCTACTGGATGTGCAGGTGGTGTAATGATTAGACATTTGGAATGAGAAATCACCAAACAGAGTTCAAATTAATGATGAGATTGTTGCATTCACTTTCGCACAAATACTCTTGGAAAGGGTATGAAGCCATTTCTTATCCCTCCCACCTAAGTATGAGTTAAGACAGACTGAACTCTAGCCATGTTTGACAACCAGTATAGGTGAAAGACAACTCGGAATTTATTACTGTATTAATCCTGGTGGGGAACATACTTGAACAATAACTAATGTCCAGTATAGTTTCTGTATAAACAACAGGTTGGCTCTGTTGGTATTGAAGAAACACAAATGAACCTGAGCAGCTGGGCATGCTCAGAAACAAGCAACCATGCTGAAGATGGCAAATCACATTGATTTGCAGGTGCCTTCAAGTCGAAACAACTCTCATGGTGATGACTGCTAAACAAGGCATTCTCTCTTTGTCACTCTCATTTTCTGTCACTACTTTCTGTCTCTCTCACTTTATCTGCTCTCTATCCCCACTTGCTTTCTGTATTTCACTCGCTTTCTTCTCTCTACCCACTGTCTCTCTCTGTGTTGTGTACCCTCCTTAATTTCACCCTTTCTACAATCATTCCTTGGATATACTTGTAAAATCCAGACCTCCTCTTCACGTTACCATATATATTTTCATATATATTCCCACATCAATCAATGACAATCAAATTCATATTCTGCCTAATTAGAATTGTGAAATAATTTCAACGTAATCACAATTATTTACTATTTGCAATTTAGTCTGTTTTGTGATGTCAACAAACACTCGTTACCACTTTTGTAATGCCAACAAGTACTTGTTGTCATTTTTGAAATGCCCACTGTAGTAGACACTTTGGCTCATTGTAGTAGAGACTTTGTAACTGCAGATACAACTATAATACAGCGATGAACACTGCTGGGTCAGATGCCTTTGAATAACACTCACACTAATAGTACTTGCTCGATAATACTCACTTGAATAGTATAGTGATATAGTATAAAGAAAAAGTATAGAGGATAGAGTAGAAATGCAGATCCGAATAGTAACAGAGATTAGACTAGAAATAATAATCTAGATGTCACATGACTTCTTATGCGTTTCCTCTATGGTCACGTGGTCTACTTCATTCAATAATGGGATCACCCGTGTTTGCTCACTGATGATCTATGTTCAAACTCAAGTGTCAGCAGTGACATTTTATTCCTATATAAAAGTCTGGCACAAGGTCACAAGTTTGATCAAAACTCACTATTCAGGAAGGTTGGTCTACCAGTTCACTAAACATTAGTCTATGGCAAGGTGCTAATAATTGTTTTTTTTATTTATTTATTTACTGTATTTCACCCAATACAAAGGTTGAGAGGCACTCAATGTAGTGCTACAGTCAAAATCGTAATGATGAAGGAGGTGTGTGATATGAATGAAAGAGAATGTGGATAGAAATGTAGATGAT